ATCCTTAAACCTTAGCTAAGACGACGCCTCGATATTAATCTCGAGTGATATACTTGGTAATTAAAAATATTCTACGTTCTTGGACCCGCCAACCAGCGTTCATTGGTATCGAGGTAGGTTGCTGAGGATCGAGGTTCCGACCTCAGTTCCCTCTCTAGGTTATGTCCGTGGGACCGGATGGGCGACGTCGACGACGTGGAGGTTCCGTCGAGGCCCGAAAGAGGTGACTCCTACGAGGACGAGGTCGAGGACAAGCGGCGAAACTTGGGGTGAGGTCGCGAGTCGGTGCGCGCCGGTCCTCGGCTCGGCCGTTTCTGCAGCTACTTCCGAGAGGTCCTTGCGAGCCCTTTGGGGTTCCAGGCCGCGGGGTCGACGAGGTCCGACCTCTCCTCAGGGCTCGAGGTCGCGAGCTGGACGGACCGGCTGAAGAGGTCGCCGCTCGGCCGGACCGGCGACCGGCTCGACTCGAGCCGGCGACGGCGGCCGAGAGGGCAGCGGCACTTCCTCTTGGAAAAGGCCGACGTCATAGCGCGACGGTCCGTCACGCGGACCGACCTCGACCGGTTGGTCGGCTCGACCGGTGAAAGAGCCGCTCCGAGGAACAAGGCGACGCCGCTCGACGGTCCGATGTCTAATATACTGGACGACCCACTCGTAGTGTCCGATATTCGACCGTTCGACCGGGGAACTGCTTATATATCTACTCGCGGTCACTCGACCGTTCCGCGTCGCGAACCGCTCGGCGGTCTGCTGTCCGGTGCTCGTCGAGCCACTGGTAATCGACGCGGTACTCGAGTCGACCGTTCGATCGTATACCGCTTATATACCGCGATCACTCGGCACGACGTCACCGTTCCGTCAGCTGATCTGCTCGACGGTCGCTTAGCGGTCTGCTGAACGGTCCGTTCGGCGGTCCGCCGATCGAGCCGCTCGGCGAGCCACTCGACGGTCGACTGGCGGTCGGCTGGCGGTCGCCTCTCCCAGCGAGCCGCTCGACGGTCGGCGGCTCGGCGGTCGGCCGGCTCGCGGCGGCTCGCGACGTCGCCGCGTCGACTCGCCTCTCGTCCCTCGAGTTCAGACCACGCGAGGGGCTCCTCGCGACCTGGCTCAGCGCCGACTAGCGGGCTCAGCCTTAACGAGGACTCGGCTCGCCGCCGAGCCGCGCACCGCCCCTCGGCCGCGCAAACTCCGACCGAGTCGCGCGCGCCTCCGCGAGGAGCGCCGCGAGGCGTCGGGACGCCGACTCCGCTGATAATGGACACCGGGAGACCGGAGTCCCGGCGCCCCCATCGGACTCTCATGGTCACCAGAGCCGCCCCCTCCCTTCCACACCCCCACTTCCGGACCGCGAGGTGTCAACCCTCCCCTTCGGGGTTTTTTTAAGATCACATTTTGCGCCTCCACGACGCCGATAATAGGCACCTGGAGAGTGGTACCCTATGATCTCGGGCGACTTAACCCTAAATTTCGGTATTTTTTAAAATCTAATTTTTTACTAATTCGTTAAGGGTGGCGGTATCTTCCGATAATGTAGACGAGGAAAGGCCATGCGCCTCCGTCGGACTCCTGTGGTTAAAACTGTCCTCGCCTCGATATTCCCTCCTTCCGGTGCGCCTTATCAACCCTTCACTTTTTTTAAGGTTGCACTTTACGTCGCTCGATATCTTCCCCGAAGTACCGGCCCTTATCGGCCAAAGGACGTCGCCAGACGACCGGAACTTCCTCGGAGAGGCCCCTCTGACCTCGATAGCGAGTCAAGGGTTCGCTCCACTACAAGACCCACCACTTTGTAGTGGGGATTGCACCCTTCCCGGTTGTTGCGCCGTCCACCCCCGCAAAGTGGGTAAGCGTTCGTTCGGGACCGATTCGATAATGGGCGAACTTCGAGCTCTGCCTCTCACGACCTCGCGTTATCAAGACCGGCGACGCCAGCGGTGATAACGTGCCCCTGTCCCCTCCCGGAAATTAAATCGCAGCAATTAATAATCACCCCTGGGGGTGGGAATTCTTCATAGGCGAGAGCATTTCCAGAAGCCACATTGCCGACACTTTCCGCCCTTGGTCTACGAGGGCAAAACGATGATTCGTTACCGGCGATCGATAGCTTCACTTCTAAACGATCGATAGCACTTAACCAAGGGTGGGAACGTCCCTCGTAAACGGCCCGAAGAGATCGATTTTGCCATAAGCACCGTATTTTCGCGGTGCTTGCGCCTTATCGAACTCCATTAAAAGGAAAGAATAAAAAGAACATACAGACGCGTAGAGAGTGAGATAAAAAAAAATATAAAAAAAACCCGGCACTGCATCTCGCAAAATCGATGTGCCTCGTGTTCCCCGCCGGAGACCGATTATTTCGGCCGGGGTGTTTTTCGCCCCGTTTTTCCGAAAGTAGCTCTGCCCAACAATAGGCCGGGATAATTGCAACAGGGGAGCGGTAAATGGGTATGACAAAAAAAAGAGAAAAAAAGAAGGAAAGAAAGGAAGATCGTTCCCCGCAAGGAATTCCACCCTCGAGGAACGCGCGTTCATTTGTGCGAAAAATGGATTTCGGCCCCCGCCACCCCCCGATCCCGAAAATGCGCTGCTCGAAAAACACTCCGGGGATAATTTCGTAAAAATAAACCCAGGGGGAAAATTTCCATCCCCCCCCGAGAGTGTCCAAATATTTTGACGCGACACGTGCAACGGTTTCGAATTTTTGAATTTTGCGGAATAATCGGAGAACGGTCCAGAATCGCCGAAAAGGAAAAAAGAAGAAATTAAAAAACATCCTCCGTCGAGGGTGCCTCGGGGGGGTCGAAATTTTCCTTTCGATGCGATCTCCGCCATTTTCGCAAGTGCCAATTTCGCAGGTGGCATTTTCGCAAGTGGTAACGATTTTAACGTTCCGCGACAAACTAAACTCGAGGAGGAGGGGAAGGGGGGGGTGGGGTAATTTGATCGGGGGCGGGGCCCGATGCGATTAACCCTAACAACGTTCGAGGCCACTTCCGCTGCATTAGCCCGACGATTCCCTGGACCCCCTCCCCCTTTTTTCCCCCTTCAAGCCGGAATTACAGACAGCTAAACGCAATTCCAACCCCCCAGGGTAGCAAGGGATGTTTCTTAGTTCGCAGGGAGCCCACGGCGCTCGAGGGGTGGCAGCACCTCATGGACGACTCGACGAAGGAGAACCCCTGCAAGGGGGCACTGGGGGTGCAGGAAGGCATGTTTGCCTGTCCACCTTCGTCCACCTGCGCCCTCCACCCCTGGGAGGGGCCCACCTCCCCAAGGACTAAAAAGAGACGCCACCTTTGGACGCGCCGCAGGGTAAACAGGGGCAATTCCTTAATGGCCTCCATCCCTCCGGGAGGGAACCTCCAAGGGGGTCTTTTTGCCTCGCCTCCTATCCATCCCTTTTTCCGTCTTACATGAAAAGAAGACGGGAAAACGCGACGGAATTTTCCCGGCCTCGCCCGAAATCCCCGCAATTAGAGCGATTGATTAAGGGGGTTAATAAGAAAAAGGGGAGGCGGACCACCTCGGGGTAGGTTCCGGAGGAGGGGGCGAACTTGAAAGTGGAAAAAGTCAAAGTTCTCCCCCTTGATAAACGAGGCGATTCCCTTAACGAGGGTCAAACGAAAAAGGAGATGCCCTGGGGGTGGGTCATAGGGGCGAATACGTCTTGTCACCCTCAAGGGGAGACGGGGGCGATGTCATATCGCAGCCTCCGACAGGTGTATTCACCTGAGCCGATCCACCCCCTATGGTGGGGGTGGTTGTGAAAGGGGAGAGGGTGGTTCTCCGGGCTTCTTATGGGGCGAATCGACGTTAAAGGGCCGGAATTGCTGCCGGTTCCTCCTCTCGCGTACATTTTGATAAAACGAGCCCCTCGCCTAGAGGGATGATCGCGGAACGAAGAGGGATGGACCGGGGGTGGGGTGTCCGCGGCTTTCCGAATCTCGACCAGGACCTCTTCCTAGGAACTCGACTCGACCAAGACAAACGACAGGGCAGGGTTGAGTTCCTCGAGGGCCGGCACCCTTCTAGCCATAACTTTCGATTACCACCCCCGAGATCGACACCGGTCCAGCTTCCGGGGGCGTTTTCGGGGATTTAAACCCAACGCGTTAAGGGATGCCTACGGGGGTCGCGTCCGCTTCATCTTTAATTTATACCGCCGAGTTATTGCAAGCGGCGCCGCTCGAGGGAGAAATTAAAAGCGTCGAAAAATGGAGCTCGGATACCTCGCCCCCCTCAAGGGTGAGACGTGACGGAGAAATTAGAAAAGAGGGGCTAAAAAATGGAGCCTCGCTCGGAGTCTGACGAGATCTAGGCGTGACACGGCATGGAGGTATCACGTGCCTGGCAAAGAAACCGCGAAATTCGAGGGGGCTATTAATCTCATCGGTGTAAACGGAGTGCCCCAATTAGGGGCGCAAGAGCTGCGCCGTCCAGTGGAGTCCGAGCGCCGTGGCCCGGCCGCCTCATTAGCCCCGCGCAAGGAGCGCCCGAGAGACCGCCCCGGAGACCTAACTAACCACCCCCAGCCGGAAACCCACCCCAAGGAGGCGCCGGGGTGCGGAATTAATGACACCCCGATAAAAGTAATCGTCCCGCCCCGTCATTTCTCACCCGACTTCCTCCCACGCGAGGAGGCGGCCCCGTTAATCAAGTCGCGCCGAAAAATGGGCGAAACCCCTTCCCGACTATCGCGAACTCGCGACAGCCCGATAACAACGATTCCCCATGAAGCCTGGAAATTAATCCGGCGCTTTTTCGACCCACCCTCGATAAAAGGGTAACCGATTAGCGCCCGTAATCTCTCACTGGTCTTCCTCCCTCCTGGGGTGCGGCATTAATCGAAAGTGGCCGAAGAATCGCCACTCCTTTCGACCGGAAGCCTCGACCTTATCTCGAAAGACCTCGAGTATCATGGGGGGGTGTAAAAATGAGTCCGGCAGTTTTTTAACAGCTATTTGGATGCGCAGAGAGGCGGGGCGTGCTTTGGACCTTACCTCGGTATGCGAAAGGCAATCTCATCGAGAGAATCGCTAGGCTGAAGCGGGGTCCGCTCGAAGAGCTTGCTGGGCCCCCTGTGCACTTTGTGGCAAGTGGTTCTCATGGATCCAGCTGTGGGCTGCGATTGGTCCCCGGCGCAATTGGTCCCTCGCTGCCCCCCTGGGCCCTGTCCGGTGCCCCTCCTGCCCCTCTTCTTGCGAGCCTCCTCCGCCTGGCGGCGCAGGTTGTGCAGCCGGAAGAAGAAGACCGACATCTCTGTCCCAGGGCGGGGGCCCACATCCGATCAGTCTCGATCAGTCCTGGGGCCCCCAGGGCGGGCCTTATCGACCGTATGGGCCATCTACGGGCCCTCTATGGGGCCCAGCAGGTGCGCAGAAGCGACAGGTGCGCGTGCAGCGTGCACGGGGATGCAAGCGGGTGCACCGGCGAACTCCCGAGGGAAATCCCATTACCCGCGCTTCCTCTACGAGGCGACCCCTCGCAATTTTCTCGATTTCGTAACTCCGAGCATGCGATATATCGAGTGGTCTGATTAAAATTTCCCTTGGATTCGTTCCCGGGACCTGACCACGTGCACGAAGGACCCCGAGTTTCGATTGCTTTCGCAGCAGCCTCGGGTTTCACGGGGATGCAATTCCCCGTCTCGAGAGATCCGTGCATTTTCGTGCATCCGCGTTAGTCAATCTCGAAAGTTTCGGGAAGTCGAGGAAAATTCCGGAGTGGTTCCTCGCGGATGGCGTTCCGGGGGCGCGGCGCGACAAGCGGAGCAAAGTGCAGCACAGTGATAGCGCAGTCGGTGCAATGGGGTTAACAGCGGATAGAGCTGCAGGGCACGCGAGGGTAGGGATGTCAGCAACGCAGACAGTGCTGCAGACAGCTGTCGGTGTCATAAGCAGCGCAACTGTTGGCGCTGCAGACTGCACAGCGACAGCGCAGGGTGCAGCACAGCTGACATCGCACCAAGAAACGTAGAAGACCCCGCGACGAAGAAAACGTAGCACACAGCGTGGCAGCAAAACGGCATGTTTCGGACAGCTCCGACAAGGACACACAAGGCGATTCTGCCGGGACAAAACAACGAGACACCACTGCCACTTTCCCCATAATCCATCCCCGTCCTTTCGGAGTCGGCGGAAATTCGCATTCCGCCCACAATGGGCAACTCATGGGACAGAGCATGGGAAACGATAGCCAGGCTCGAGAGACCCTCTTCGCGGGGGACCGTCTATTTCCGTCCATCGGAGTTCGGATTAATAACCGGGCCGAATCCTGCCCAGGATAAAGCTCCTCCGGAGCGTTCGCAATTAAGGGACAAAAATGGAGGATTCGACCGGCTAACGATGTTGCCACCCAATCTCACGGGAGAAAATCCCCCTGCCCCCTGCCTATCCCCCATAGAGGACCTAGATACTCCCTCCGGCGTGAAAAATTGCTGGAAAAAAAAAAAAGAATAGTGTCCAGGTATTTTGCGTAAACGAAAACCTCCACGTAGGATTCCGAGCCTTCTTCGACCCAGAAAGAAATTATTCCCGGAATTACCCCCCCTCGGTGTTGCTTAACGCTAATCTCGGCCACCCCTTTTTCGCCCTTTTTTCGGGGGGTGTAACCCCGGGCGCTCTTCTCCTCGCAAAGGGGTTTCCAACTTTCCGGGGGCTCTTTCTCTTCTTTTTTCACTCTCCCGGCCCCCGGGGGCGGGTTGTAAAAAAATATCTCGCCGTGTTTTTACGAGGGTTGTTTCGGCGAAATATCAAAACTATCCAGGGGCCAGGGGATTACGAGGGGCAGATCCGAATTGCGAGGGGGGAGGGAGAGAGGGCATCGGCGAGATTGCACGTTCCTACCCAGAAGGCGATCCCTTGAACCCACGCGATGAATAAAAAGGAAAATTCCTCCGACCCGCCTCTAAACCCATCTTGGAATAACTCTCGAAAGGACCTGTCGGGGCCGTAGAAATCCGGGGGGGAGGAAACTCGACCGAGACAGATTTGGCAGAATCCATGGAAAGGGGAGATAAAAAAATCGACCCTTCTGCCTAGCGATGATATAATCGACGTCGGAAACAATCCCTAGGCCCGTCGTCATCGAGGCTCGAATTAACGTTTAATTAATAAACGCTCGGCTCGCCCTGATTAATAGAAAATTGGAAAGCCTCGGGTCGGGCGAAGTGCTCGATTGAATTATCGAGCATTTGTGAGGTTCCCGCCGATCCAACATGGCGGCCGATCGCCTCGATTGGATCTTCTACCGCGCCGGTTAAACGCGCGATAGAGTTGGAATTTCCGAAATTTCCCGTAAATTATGCGGATATGTCATCTCGACGCCTCGATCGGTCGCATCGAATCGTTCTCCGTAGGCCCATCCTTATCCTGAACCTTCCCCTAATCTCGGGGATGAAGGGAGTGCATTTAACGGGAGCGAGCATCCCTCTCGAGTCGCGTCGCGGATCTCGCTTCCAGGGCAAGCTGGTCTGACTTCTTTGAAAGAAAAGGCAAATCTCCCGACTTCATCCCTTTCTGGGGGATTAACGTCCCCCTCCCACCCTGTCTCGCGTCGGGGGAGTATCTCTTCCCGAGCATCCCCTTCTCGCGAGATTAATGCGACGTGAATGCGGCCCCGCTGTAGTTGTGATTCTCCCCCCAATTTTCGGCCACCCCGTTCATGTTTCCTGTAATAATCCGGCCATCATTGTCCGGGGTGCATTACGATACATGCCCGTGGACTTGCAGTCGCCGGTAAGCCCGATCGTTTCCCGATATTCCGCCCGCCCTCCTGGATACGATTTTTTCCCCGGCAAAACCCCTGCGATTCCTCTGCAAATCCCACCCCCCCCCTTTCCTGGTCTTCGATTCCGGATTTTCGCCAGATCGTTATTAAGGAGATAACCGATTCACCCAAGAATTGTTACGATATCTCGGTGGGGGAGGTATGAGAAGAAAGGAAGTTTCGCGGTAAAAGAGGGTGGAAAGGAGATGCCAGGTGGAGGGGCGAATTTTTAAAGACCTCCAGCGAGAGAGAGCTCCCCCTCGGATCTCGAAAGGATCGATCGGGTTTATCGGATTTATCCCGGTGGTTTTCCACCCTCTGGACGAACTCTAACCTTTCGTTTATGCCGAACTATACGAGCCACTCCGACGAACTGCCCTATGATGGTTTACGACTTCCCCTGCGAAAGTGTGAGAAACGGAAACACCCCCGCGAGAGGAAGAGAGAGAAAGCGCGCCTGTTCATGCCCCGGAGGAAGGGAAAGAAAAGGGAGAAACCTCGGCGCCGAGGATCGTGATCTCACTTTGGCCTCCATTTTTTCCTCCAATCCGGGTGGCAGGATAAGCACCGGGGGAGGGATTAAAAGAAAAACCGGCAAAAATGCGAGAATATGAAAATATGAAAATGGGAAAAAGTGGAAACGGGTGAAAGCTCGAGGACACCTGTCACGTCGCTCGCCGGGCGAAAAACCCACCCCGGTGGTTGATGTCAATTACTCGTATCGTCTCCTCGGCGACAGTCGATCCGGCATTATTTCGGCCCCCGGTATTCGAGCTGACCTACTGACCCCAGGTCTCCACCCTTCCGTGGAAACGGCGAAAATAGGCGGTGAAAATCGGAGCCCATCGCAGACCCTCCCAGAAATTGATACCCGATAACGCGTTTCCCTTCTCCTAGACAAGTCACCTGCCTCCGGCTCGTGAACTTCGTCTTTAACCGAGGGTGGGTGTCCCGGGGGTGGCGGCGCTTTTTCGCGCCCTCCCCCTAAGGGCGCGAAAAGACTCCCCGATCTTTAGTCCCTGAGCAAATTGGCCCATGTTGGAGGCGCCTCTAGCGGCGAGCTCGATGAGTTAATTACGCCGGTGTTCCCGACACTTCCCGAGTTCCTCGACAGATTGGATTCCGAAGTCGTATCGGGGCGCTTAGGACTCCGGGGGTGAGAGGGCTCGCTGAATTTCCCGGCCCTGTCACGGGGTAAGTTTTCATTATGGGACGTGCTCCGACAACTGGGGAACTCCAACTCCCCGGGAGGGCACTTCGCTAATTGCCGGCTAGTCGGGGAATTTTCTTTCTTTTGTCCTATTCTCTTTTCATCGGCAACCCCCGATAACTCCAAAAAAAGGGAAAAAGAATACCTCGCGAGCGGACCCTCCCCCGGGATGCGACGGATTCTTAGTAATCGCATCTCTTGGGGAATTTCCTCCAATTCTTTTCCTTCCTTTCTTTCTTTCTCCATTTCAATCAAAATTACAAGGTACCTCTCCCGCCCTCCACGTGCGATGACACTCGAGACAACATGCGACAAAGGGGCTGGGAAGCCGACATTGGGGTGCGACACATCGTGCAACGATTAACGGGGGTCCCTTTTTCCTGTCCCTCCCTCCTGAGAAAGGATAATTCCCACCTAGGAGACTTCTGATAACTCCTACGTCCTGTATGACTCTCTTGGTCTCCTTATCGGGGAATTATCGATCCCCAGTATCGACCAGGGCAGACCTCTCGAGCGCGCTCGCGTGGACGCACCTCCTCTGGTTTAAAAATTGAACAAAATTCGCGAAGGGGGGAGGGGGGGTGGGAACCGTGATAGAAAAATTCGAGACGCAGGGTGAGATCCATTCGTCGCTATAAGGGGATGTTTTCCTCGGAAAGGAGCGAAAAAGAGCGTAGATGAAAGTTTCAAAGGAGCGCCGACGTCGATCCAGGTCAGGCTCGAGTTCTCGAGATCGACCGGGGAATTGGAGAACCCGGAGGAATCTGATAGTCCCCGGGAAACCGGAGAATTATTCCCAGGACAGAGGACTAATTTCGGGTTCGCGGGTCACCGAAATCGGAGCGTCCGGTTATCGCCTCGATCGGCGGAAATTTTTCCTCCCCGAGGGAAAGGGCTCCGATAATTCCCGGCAATTATCGAACACCTCTCGGATGTCACGCGGCCACCTGCCCGGGGTGAAAAACTGCATTCGGAAATGTCGGATAGAGGTGAAAAATGAGGGAGGAAAAAGAAAAAAAAAGAAAAAAGGATTACACAAAAAGAGGATGATAATCAACGAGGGATTCTTGACAACGCGGCGGCACGAGACCGCTGGTTTGTCGCGATTGCATTCCTCCTCATCTCCGGTGGACGTTTAATAGATTTTCAAACTTCACCCAGAGAAGCCGAACTCCCACCGCGGCGAGCTAACTTTAATTAACGGGCAACAATAACTAACAAAGTGGGGGGCGAAAGTTAATCCGGACTCTGGGAATCTGTCTCTTTACCTTGTCCGCCGA